CAGCTACCTTACCATCAATTCTTTGAAGAAACCTATATAAAAAATAAATAAATATACAACAATATATATGAAAATATATAAAATGAAATAAATCAACTATTCTTACTATTAGGTGCGGAACCATAGTTCTTAATTAGGTCCTTATGGTATATTATAAAGACCTAAGAGCTAGGGTTCCGCAGCTACCTTACCATCAATTCTTTGAAGAAACCTATATCAAAAATAAATATATATACAACCATATACACATGAAAATGTATGAAATGAAATAAATCAACCAATCTTACTATTAGGTGCGGAACCATAGCTCTTAATTAGGTCCTTATGATATATTATAAAGACTTAAGAGCTACGGTTCCGCAGCTACCTTACCATCAATTCTTTGAAGAAACCTATATAAAAAATAAATATATATACATTCATATACACATGAAAATATATAAAATGAAATAATTCAACCAATCTTACTACTAGGTGCGGAACAATAGCTCTTAATTAGGTCCTTATGATATATTATAAAGACTTGAGCTACGGTTCCACAGCTACCTTACCATCAATTCTTTGAAGAAACCTATATAAAAAATAAATATATATACAACAATATCCATGAAAATATATAAAATGAAATAAATCCACCAATCTTACTATTAGGTGCGGAACCATAGCTCTTAATTAGGTCCGTATGATATATCATAAAGACCTAAGAGCTACGGTTATGCAGCTACCTTACCATCAATTCTTTGAAGAAACCTATATAAAAAATAAATATATATACAACAATATACATAATGAAATAAATCAACCAATCTTACTATTAGGTGCGGAACCATAGCTCTTAATTAGGTCCTTATGATATATTATAAAGACTTAAGAGCTACGGTTCCACAGCTACCTTACCATCAATTCTTTGAAGAAATCTATATAAAAAATAAATATATATACAACAATATCCATGAAAATATATATAATGAAAATAATCAACCAATCTTACTATTAGGTGCAGAACCGTAGCCCTTAATTAGGTCCTTATGATATATTGTAAAGACCTAAGAGCTACGGTTCCACAGCTACCTTACCATCAATTCTTTGAAGAAACCTATATAAAAAATAAATATATATACAACAATATACATGAAAATTTATAAAATGAAATAAATCAACCAATCTTACTATATGGTGCGGAACCATAGCTCTTAATTAGGTCCTTATGATATATTATAGTAAAGACCTAAGAGCTACGGTTCCGCAGATACCTTACCATCAATTCTTTGAAGAAACCTATATAAAAAATAAATATATATACAACAATATATATATTGAAATAAATCAACCAATCTTACTATTAGGTACGGAACCATAGCTCTTAATTAGGTCCTTATGATATATTATAAAGACTTAAGAGCTACAGTTCCACAGCTACCTTACCATCAATTCTTTGAAGAAATCTATATAAAAAATAAATATATATATACAACAATATACATGAAAATATATAAAATGAAAAAAATCAACCAATCTTACTATTAGGTGCAGAACTGTAGTTCTTAATTAGGTCCTTATGATATATTATAAAGACCTAAGAGCTACGGTTTCTCAGCTACCTTACCATCAATTTTTTGAAGAAACCTATATAAAAAATAAATATATATACAACCATATACACATGAAAATATATAAAATGAACTAAATCAACCAATCTTATTATTATTAGGTGCGGAACCATAGCTCTTAATTAGGTCCTTATGATATATTATAAAGACTTAAGAGCTACGGTTCCACAGCTACCTTACCATTAATTCTTTGAAGAAACCTATATAAAAAATAAATATATATACAACAATATCCATGAAAATATATAAAATGTAAATAATCAACCAATCTTACAATTAAGTGTGGAACCATAGCTCTTAATTAGGTCCTTATGATATATTATAAAGACCTAAGAGCTATCGTTCCGCAGTTACCGTACCATCAATTCTTTGAAGAAACCTATTTAAAAAATAAATATACATACAACCATATACACATGAAAATATATAAAATGAAATAAATCAACCAATCTTACTATTAGGTGCGGAACCATAGCTCTTAATTAGGTCCTTATGATATATTATAAAGACCTAAGAGCTACTGTTCCACAGCTACCTTACCATCAATTTTTTGAAGAAACCTATATAAAAAATAAATATATATATACAATAATATCCATGAAAATATATAAAATGAAAATAATCAACCAATCTTACTATTAGGTGCGGAACCATAGCTCTTAATTAGGTCCTTATGATATATTGGAAAGACCTAAGAGCTATGGTTCCACAGCTACCTTACCATCAATTCTTTGAATAAACCTATATAAAAAATAAATATATATACAACCATATACACATGAAAATATATAAAATGAAATAAATCAACCAATCTTACTATTAGGTGCAGAACAATAGCTCTTAATTAGGTCCTTATGATATATCATAAAGACCTAAGAGCTACGGTTCCGCAGCTACCTTACCATCAATTCTTTGAAGAAACCTATATAAAAAATAAATATATATACAACCATATCCACATGAAAATATATAAAATGAAATAAATCAACCAATCTTAATATTAGGTGCGGATCCATAGCTCTTAATTAGGTCCTTATGATATATTATAAAGACTTAAGAGCTACGGTTCCACAGCTACCTTACCATCAATTCTTTGAAGAAACCTATATCAAAAATAAATATATATACAACAATATACATGAAAATATATAAAATGAAATAAATCAACTAACTTTACTATTAGGTGCGGAACCATAGCTCTTAATTAGGTCCTTATGATATATTATAAAGACTTAAGAGCTACGGTTCCACAGCTACCTTACCATCAATTCTTTGAAGAAACCTATATAAAAAATTAATATATATACAACAATATCTATGAAAATATATAAAATGAAAAAAATCAACCAATCTTACTATTAGGTGCGGAACTGTAGTTCTTAATTAGGTCCTTATGATATATTATAAAGACCTAAGAGTTATGGTTCCGCAGCTACCTTACCATCAATTCTTTGAAGAAACCTATATAAAAAATAAATAAATATACAACAATATACATGAAAATATATAAAATGAAATAAATTGACCAATCTTACTATTAGGTGCGGAACCATAGCTTTTAATTAGGTCCTTATGATATATTATAAAGACCTTAGAGCTACGGTTCCGCAGTTACCTTACCATCAATTCTTTGAAGTAACCTATTTAAAAAATAAATATATATACAACCATATACACATGAAAATATATAAAAAGAAATTAATCCACCAATCTTACTATTAGGTGCGGAACCATAGCTCTTAATTAGGTCCTTATGATATATTATAAAGACATAAGAGCTACAGTTCCGTAGCTACCTTACCATCAATTCTTTGAAGAAACCTATATAAAAAATAAATATATATACAACAATATACATGAAAATATATGAGGAATGATAACAGAAAAGAGTCATGCCCACTGAGCTGAAGGAAATTTAATATTTTATGAATTAGATTAGGGATCTCTCAAAGAGTTCAAGTAGGAAAATAGGTGATGATGTATGAGGTGAGATACCTTCCCTCTATATAATATATATCAGTGACCGGTGTGGATAGTAAACTTGAAATTGATAGAAAATAGCAACTACAAGTTATTTTTAGCAAGGGTCCGGAAACGGTCATATATGCCAGTCATGTCCTAAGATGAAACTATTTGTCCTAAATGAGTAATTGGGATTTAGGACAAATTTTACTTTTAAAGAAGTGATTTCGGTCATTTCATTGACTCAATGTTTGAAATCGGATTTTTTAATCACCATTTTGCACTGTCTTGTGTAAGTTGTGATCACTTGTTTTTGTTTATAATCCCTATCCTGTAATAAAACTGCCACTCCAGTAGTTTGATAATCCTGAGGGCCCTCCTAATATCTATATCAATGCCTCCGGGAAACATTGGCTAATGATCTCTAATCACTTTTTACCTGTGGTTTTAATTCAAACCTGACAGTGATCACAAGCTGAGAATAATATCTTAACAAAAATTGAAATTCCCTGACAAGTGTACCGGTATTCATTATTTAATTACTTTTCAGCAAAGACAATCATCAAATCTGATATAAAAATTAAACCTAAATTTACGGAGTAAAAAGTATTTTTTCATATGCTTTATTTACTATATAATACGCATGCGTGAAATTGTCTTCAGCAAATATTTAATATTTAATCGTAAAATGCAAATTGATTTCATGCTAAATTAAACGAGTGCAACTATTGTCTGTTACATTCAAACACTTTTAAAGGTAATAAAATAAAAAAAAAAAACATAAAAAGCCGGTGATTTCCTGTCAATTTGATAAACAAAACAAATCCCGGAAATGAATCCGGAATTATTCATACTTTAACTTTATCGCAAACTTCAGGTTTTAACTTTTGTCAAATCGAAAGAAACGTAAGCAATGTCTGAGAGATTTACCATTTTGAGTCATTAAAATCATTTCAATTTTAAACTGTTGCCTTCCCTAAACTGTTCTTCATGGTAATGGTAAGACATTTACTTAGTAAATGCGATGAAACAGCAATACAAGTTCGCTGATGCTATGAATCTAGTCAAGACTCAAGTTGACATCGACAATTTGGAAAGGGGCACCAATTTTCAATCATCTCAAAATGACTGAAATTGTGTGGAAAAATTTCCGGATCCTTGATTTTTAGTATATTTATGTTCATACAACAGAAAAACACAAAAATAATTGAAATTAATAGAAAACAAAAAAAATAAGAGATTCTGGAAAAAAGGGGGAGTGTTAAAAATAAATTGTCCTGTCCCAAGTACCTAATAGGTAAATAGACTCCAAGAAAAAAAATTATAGTACCCTATTGCATAATTTTTAACCAACAAAAAAATACTCACCACATATAATTATAGATGAGGTTCTTGCTGTAACCCTTTGGTTATTGAATTACAAAGATAGCTGTTTCACTGTACACATTAATGGCTCTTCAAGGTCATTGAATACTGTTCTGCTCTGTTCAGTTGTTCAGTTCCTCTAAAATATCAGATAAGTATAAAATATTTGAAAGGATGGAAACTTAAAACTTTATTTTATTTATAGACTTCTTTATAAAATGTTTATTTAATCTAAGACATTCATATAAAAATAAGGAGATGTGGTATGATGAGACATTACTGTCCACCAAAGTTCAAATGAAGTAGATGCAAGTCATTATACTGGCAACTGTACGGCCTTCAACAATGAGATAAACCTAAATCATATGGTCAGGTTTAAAAGGCCCTAAGACACTAAAAATATGAAACAATTCAATTGAGAAAACTAACAGCCTAATTTATAAACAGTTTACATAAAAACAAATATGACAAAAATGAACCAAGGACAACAACTGAACTTTCAGGCTCCTGACTTGTGACAGGCACATAAAGAATGAAATGTGTCTGGGTTAAACATGCATGTTTGTAAGTGTTCAACACTCCCCCTAACCTAGGAAAGAGGTGTAACAGTACAACATCAAACTATAAAAATCAGTTGAAAAAGGATTTACCCATCAGATGGATTATTACAGTAACAAATAGAAATACATCTAACAAAAACAGGTACTTATACATCCCAAAAACAAAAAGACACAAAGTACAGATCTGAGAGTACTCGCAGTTACTGACAGCTAGTTCAAAGCCAATAACAACTAATAAAAAACATATCATAGGGAACATGTGTACTTAAGTTTCAAGTTCAACTTCATCAAAAACTGCCTTGACCAAAAACTTTAACCTAAAAACTTTAACCTGAAGCAGGACAGACAGACGAACAAATAGACAGACGAACGAAAGAACCGACAGACGAATAACCGACAGAAGAACGAACCGACAGACAAACAAACGAACAGACTAATGAACGGACAAACGAACAGACCCACAGACCGAAAAACATTATGCCCATAAATGGGCATAAAAATCATGTATCTAAGGCTTAAATATCAATCAGTTCACATCCAACATCCAATGGATTAAGGGTAAAGACGTCAATAATAGTCAGAGAAAAACATGACCTTGTGCAATGCCAAACTATAGGTATTGACAGATTGTAGAACCGTGAAAGTACACATGTGTAATATTTAGTATGGTTTTAATTCATTGATGACAAAATCAATATTTACACCAATAAAAACAATATTCAAAGATTTATTTACACTGTTGAATAGGTAACCTTTTAGAATAAGTTTATTTAAAGGATTGATAAGTGTACGTAACCCGGATTGTTTATGTTTTCTTTAGTACAAAAAATTCTCCTTTAACCAATGTCATATTTCAATCAATTTCTAATATATCTATCTCAACAAGAATAACAACATATCCAATATATAATATTAATATTATTCTGTAAAACTTAAACCATAAAACATTTCTTTGCATGTAAATATCATTAAGTAAGATTAAGGTTATTGTTCCGTGACCTATTGCGGTTCATATGGATGTAGATGAAGAGGGCTATAAATTATATAATACAAGGCAAATATTTGTAAATACTGAATATCAGCTCATAACTAAAGCAAAGAAACAGACAGATATTATTTTGTTGAAAAGATATGTTATAATTTATATCTGATTAATCTTTTTAGCTACAAGTATCCAAAAGGTAAAAAAAACAGGGTTTGTAAAAGTTTTTTTGTTTTTTTTTAAACTATTATACCTGTATACACTGTGTCTACCATTGTTGAAAGTCTATATGATGGAGTTGTAAGAATGTCTGGCTATCCTAAATGCATTTGAATACAAAGTTAGACGACTGTAAGTTCATAGTACTCCAAGAACTGAAAAGAAACATTTAATATTAAAACAAGTCATAAAAATTTTCACATACCGGTAGACTAGAACAATCTACTTGCTGATGAGAGAAGTCAAACTCGCTGCAATACATTTGGATTTTCATTAAGTCAAATGACCCTAGAAATATTTATAAATATAAGGTTTTCAGATCCAGGATTTTGAAAAAGGGGGGTTCATAAATGTAGCTCCATAAGGGGAAGGGCACCCCCTTAAATCAGCCTCTGCTTTTGCAAAACTTGTAAATTTGTAGACATGTACAGACATTTGGAAGAGTGTTTAATATATAAACTAATGTGAAGAAACTGTAATAGTCACCATTTTGTTTCACATCCAACCTTATTATGCATGAAAATTTTGTGAAATCTTTTTGATTCTATAAAAGTAATTTTCTAGAATTAAAAGCTTTCAAATCCCAAAGAGATCGCATTGAAGCAAATAATTATAACTAATTAATACCTTAAACTCCTCATAAACCTCTTTAGTGTACCAACACAATTCTAAGGAAATAATCCATGTCTTTATTCAAGGAATTAAAGATCAAACTTATAATTTGGAGTCAAATTCTAACCTTTTGATCACATGATCATACAGGAAATAAAACTGTTCACTCACATCTACTCACTTCACACTTGAGTAACTGGCTGTGTACAAAAATAACTTAACCTGACAAAGGTATTTCACCAAATTATGTAACAGAATTTTGTTCAGATAATAAAACATTCCCCTAAAGGGAAAAGTTTTAATATAAGTTGTACAACTTTGCCCCCAGCATAGCTTAGTAAAAAACAGTACAGGGGTGTGTAACAGGACACTTTGTATGAAGATACACAGACTCTTTTTATGAATAAGCTACTGGTGCATTCATTGAGTTCACTTTTATCTTTTATCACTTTATCCTTAAGGTACACCTTGTGACCTAATTACTTTGATTTATAAATATAATTTATCAGGTTGGGAATGAGGAATATCCCTTAAATGAAGGACTGTCCCCCAGACAAGGGGTCATTTTGCTGTTGTAGAAAAGAAAAAAGAAAATCTTAGCTTTTTTAACTTTAAAGTGGAAAAATTCATTATTTTTGGAACAACTTTTCTAAACTAGAGGCTCTCAAGAGCCTGTGTCGCTCACCTGACTCTACTTTGGTTTTAGAAATCATGTAAAGATAGATAAAAATCATAACAGATACCCAAATAATGATTGAGGCCAAATTTTGATTAATATTGGTCCTGTTATTTAATAAAATATCCTGGTGGCCATCTTGAACAGTAAATCGGCAACAAAGTAGCAACACTTGGTCAGCACTTCATAAGGAACATTCATGCCATGTTTGGTTTCATTCCATTCAGTGGTACTCTAAAAGAAGACATTTGTATGTATTTCCCATAGGGTCCTATGTTAAACTAAGCCCCCCCCCCCCCCCCCCCCCCCTAGCGGCCATCTTGGATGATGGATCGACTGCAAAGTAACAACACTTGGTCAGCAACTCATAAGGAACATTCATGCCATGTTTGGTTTTATTCCATTCAGTGGTTCTCCAAAAGAAGACAATTGTATGTATTTCCCATAGGGTCCTATGTTAAACTAAGTCCCCCGCTGTCGGCCATCTTGGATGATGGATCGGCTGCAAAGTAACAACACTTGGTCAACATCTCATAAGGAACATTCATGCCATGTTTAGTTCCATTCCATTTATTGGTTCTCTAAAAGAAGACATTTTTATGTATTTCCCAAAGGGTCCTATGTAAAACTAAGTCCCCCGCTGGGGGCCATCTTGGATGATGGATCGGCTACAAAGTAACAACACTTGGTCAGCATCTCATAAGGAAGATTCATGCCATGTTTGGTTTCATTCCATTCAGTGGTTCACTAAAAGAAGACATTTGTATGTATTTCCCATAGGGTCCTATGTTAAACTAAGTCCCCCGCTGGCGGCCATCTTGGATGATGGATCGGCTACAAAGTAACAACACTTGGTCAGAACCTCATAAGGAACATTCATGCCATGTTTGGTTTCATTCCATTCAGTGGTTCTCTAAAAGAAGACATTTTTATGTATTTCCCATAGGGTCCTATGTTAAACTAAGTCCCCCGCTGGTGGCCATCTTGGATGATGGATCGGCTACAAAGTAACAACACTTGGTCAGAACCTCATAAGGAACATTCATGCCATGTTTGGTTTCATTCCATTCAGTGGTTCTCTAAAAGAAGACATTTGTATGTATTTCCCATAGGGTCCTATGTTAAACTAAGTTCCCCGATGGCGGCCATCTTGGATGATGGATCGGCTACAAAGTAACAACACATGGTCAGCACCTCATAAGGAACATTCATGCCATGTTTGGTTTTATTCCATTCAGTGGTTCTCTAAAAGAAGTCATTTGTATGCATTTCCCATAGGGTCCTATGTTAAACTAAGTCCCCCGCTGGCGGCCATCTTGGATGATGGATCGGCCTCAAAGTAACAACACTTGGTGAGCACCTCATAAGGAACATTCATGCCATGTTTGGTTTTATTCCATTCAGTGGTTCACTAAAAGAAGTCATTTGTATGCATTTCCCATAGGGTCCTATGTTAAACTAAGTCCCCCGCTGGCGGCCATCTTGGATGATGGATCGGCTACAAAGTAACAACACTTGGTCAGCACCTCATAAGGAACATTCATGCCATGTTTGGTTTCATTCCATTCAGTGGTTCTCTAGAAGAAGTTCAAAATGTAAAAAGTTAACGCCGACGACGGACGACGCCGGATGACGACGGACGACGGACGACGGACGCCAAGTGATGAGAAAAGCTCACTTGGCCCTTCGGGCCAGGTGAGCTAAAAAGGGGTCCACTTATTTTTTAATAAAGAAGATATACATTCAAGTCCATCAATATTACTTCCGGTTCCGAGACAAACTATGATAAACAATTCCTAAATATAGAAGGACAAAAGTTAAGGGAATGGTTCCAAGTAATATATAAAGACTCCTTATATTGATAACATCCACCACAACAGCCAATTATCACCATCCTGCCCATTATCTACATTCTTTGACCCAAAACTTGTCAAGTCATTGTAAAAACTAACAATAATATGACATCTTAATTTTTGACAATCTACCTAAAATTGCCATTGAGAGTGTTACTCAATCCAATCTTTGGATGCCCGACACTGAATTTATTAAGTATAAGTTGCCTGATCAACCAAAACCTCCAACAGGCATTGCTATCAAGGCACCTTTTGAAAAACTTTATCACGATTTGTACAGGCCAGCTGCGTGTATGGTAGCATTCTAAGTTGAATCAAAAGATCGGTTTCTGCTTTGGATAAAAACTTTTGCTTTTCGCTACCATTCCCTATATGGGGCTCTTGACAACTATACTAATGCAAGTGGACAGACAAAAAAAATACTAAAGAGGGCAACATAGGTGTCAGAAATAAATACTGACTCAAACAAACTATATATACTTACATTTCATTTATATATAATTAATATATATCCAACAACCTTTCTCATAACAGTTCAAGGAACACATTATTTATCATGGGCAAAAACAGAGTTCCAATATCTTTAATCAATTGGTGAACACAATAGCCTTTTTGATTCATCAAACACAGAATACACTTTCTTCACAACACAATTAGACCAAAGTGAGACAAAACCTATGAAAATGTCAACCCTTAGAATTGTTACGCCAAGAACATGATACTGTGATAAATAAACAATCTACTGAAAATATTCTTGCATCATTGCAACTATTAGAGAGTAAACTATGTGAAGTGTCAAACACCTGTGCAGGCTTAAAAGATGACAACCCTACAGATAACAATAACTATGATAGCAAAATGTCAAAACTAAATCAAAATCTTGATGACCTGAAAGAAAATCAACAAAAATTAGAACAAGAGTGCACACGCTGAAATGTCTCGTCTTCTTTACTAATCATTGATATTATGTTGATAGTCCTAAATATAAAGCTTTATTACAACTGTCACATAAACTTAACATTAACCAAGAAAACTAAACATTGACCAATGAACCAGGAAAATGAGGTCAAGGTCAGATGAACCATGCTAGGCAGGCATGTACAGCTAACAATTCTTCCTTACAACAAATATACCAGTAGTTGACCTATTACTTATAGTTTAAGAAAAACAGACCAAAACACAAAACTTAAAACTGAGCAATGAACCTTGAAAATGAGGTCAAGGTAAAAAAAAAACCTGTGTGACTGACAAATAGATCATAAAATATTTCCATACACCAAATATAGTTGAACTATTGCATATAGTATTAGAAAAAAAGACCAAAACTCAAAAACTTAACTTCATCAGAAGGGATTGACAAATATGGCCATTTTTTTTTTATTTCCTCTTGAGTACAGACAAACCTGTGCACAAGGAAAAGTTTTAAGGCATTGCAGAAACTGGATAAATATTTGTCAATTCCTTGAGATGAACCTGAAAGACCCCCCCCCCCACCCCAAAAAAAAAAAAAAAAAAAAAAAAACTAAAATTATCTTCAATTTTGATCAAAATATTGTAAAAAGTCATATTTTCATATTATCTATTTATCTATTTATGTTGCTATGCTAAAATATTTTTTACTTATCTCAATACTTATCTTATTTCATATGTATCAAAAATCAGTAAATGTGATTATGTTGTGCAAACAAAATTTCAAAAGTTCTTCAATCTGTACATATTCAGCAAATTAATCTTTATGAAGGGACTGGAGTGAACTGTATTCTATGTTAAACATTCATGCATGAGTGACCTTATTTTAACATTTTCACACCTTCCAATGTTTTTGTTAATCACGGTTTAGAAATGATCCCTTAAAAGTTTTTATTATTTATTATCATTATTAATGTTATTTAAAGATTTTTATAAAATAATCTATTTCAATGTAAGTAATCAGCAGTTAAATAATAAAATACATTCCATACACCAAATATAGTTGACCTATTACTTATAGCATCTGAGAAGAAGACCAAACAAC